AAAATCTAAAAAACCAATTTCATTTTTCAACCCACAAAACTCTTCATGTCTGGTTTCCCAAAGCACCTACAAAAATTGCATTGTCATTATGAAACCTTTTCATAAGAACCTTCCATAACAAGGAATGAAAATCTGTGAGAAGTTGACAGTGAGGAAAAACTAAAATAATTACCTCATCTCCAGAGAGGAAAACCAGACCTGGACAACCTCAGCAATTGAGAAAGTCAGAGATGCAGAGCATTTTACACTTGAATGAACTCACGTTTGCCAGGCTATTTTGTCTGCACAGAGAACTCAAACACCAATGTCAGTAAAAAAAATGGAGGATGAGGCTCTCTGGCTAGATCCTTGGTTTTTTCTCGCAAAAACAAGCTGAAAATCTGGAAAATCTATGTTCTAAAATGAGCCAATTGTAGAGGATTCATCATTTTTTACCTTTGGAAACACTGGTATAGAATATTTTAGATCCCTTTGAGAGTTCAAGGCATAAGTTAAAAAAAAATTCAGCCATGAGGAATAGTTTAAAACATTTTTTCAATAATAGGCCAAATTTTTCCCAGTGTGTGTCTATCAGACAATAAGAATATTTTGGTTTGCCTTTGCCTATGCACCAAGGCAGTTCTAAGCATTTGCAAGCTCAAGCTTGTCCATGTTCATCTGTCAGCACTAAACCTGCTTTGATCATCACTTCTCCTGTCCACTGCACCGAGTCTGTCTTGCAGAAGTAACCTGCAAAAATCTCTTTCCAAGCAGCAGTAAAAGCACAGCAGATCGGGATAAGGGAGAATCTGTCCCTAAAGGTGCAGTTTAGGCCAGAAATGTAAATGTTTCAAACTGGGAAGATGTCACTGCATCCCAAGCTTTACATTGTTTGTGTGTGCCAGGCATTAGTAATTGGGCTGAGACCAGCTTGGTTGTCTATGATTTAGCTTTAAGTCAAGGCAAGGCACAAAGCTTTCTTCTGAGTCATTAAGGGTTAGCTACCAGCTTCATAGCCTGCCACATGCTCCCTTTGGCTCCCCACAAAACCAGTTCTTTCCTACAGAGCGTGATACAGATTGAAAATGGTTCCAAACAAACAGCCATGTGCTTGTGGATTTTATCAAAATAGAAAAATTGGTTTTGTGGATTTTATCAAATTAGAAAAACTATTTTTGTCAGGCTCTCAGCTATGGGCCAGACCACACTGGACTCTCCCCTGACTTACAGGGTGTCTCATTTTGTCCCCTGACTTACAGGGTGTCTTCATTCCTTACGTCCTCTCAGCCCTTGCTGTTTAACCATGGTCTCCAAATCACACACACTAAAGCTCAGGTGAGTCACAACATCAAGAAAAACAAGATTAAGCCTGTTTATCCCATCTGCTCCATGCACAGAAAACCAGTTGCACAGCCCCAGGACAGTGAAAGCTGCAGAGTGCCATGGAAAGCAGCCAACTTCCTTTTTGCTGTGCTCTCCATCTGCCATCTTGCCTTCACTGCAAATTGGTGCTAAAAGTATTTTATTTCTTTCTTTCTCATCTGAGCTATGTGTTGGTTTCTAGGAAAATCTACCACAACAATCTTCTCTACAAATAGAAGTTCACTGTAATTCACATGTCCTAGGACAGTGTTGACAGACCAGGAAAGCAGTATGTTGCTTCAAGTCTTGACAACACTATTGAAATAATAATTCTTGAAAATCTTCTCCCAACTATTGTACTGTGTACTAGAAAATAAAAGACTGCCATACATTTGATCTAAGTTATTCAGGATTAAATGAATTCTAGATGTTTCCAGTTCAATCTGGGAAAATTAATTTCTGATTTTTTAATTGGCTATGGTCCTACATCCACACAGAGAACTATCTGTGTCTTCTGTTTCTTTAAATTAAATAACCTCCAATCATGTAATGCTGGGACCCTTTCTCAGGTAAATAAGTTTAGCTTTGGACAACTCTTTACTTCCATAAATGTGCTCTTTTTTTTTTTTCTTTTTTTTTTTTTAATCTTCAAGAAACAGTATTTAACTGCTATCTCCAAGTAGGCAACTTCTGATTAAGGCGATATTAATGCTGTCTGTATTACACATTTTTGTACCCTGATCATTTTCATGTCAGCAGCTGCAGCATAGCTCTTTATATGGATTATGATTCTCCTACCAGTAGTTCAAACCACACACAAGACTGGTTTGGTTCCATTTAGACTCCATGCAATTTTTATTTTAAGTTATAGTATTTGTGTTTCTGCTTCCAAGGATCCCAGGTTTTGTAGGTAACATCTGCTTGAACAACAGCTAGGAAAATGAGGATTGAAAAACAATCTGAATTTCTCCACAGTTTTTTCCTTTATCACATAAGCCTAGGTGACTCATCTCTGAGTTATTGCTGAATCCCTTTCCTTCCATTTCCTACAAATCAATGGAAGGGATATGAGGATATGAGATATGATTTCAAGGGACACGAGTTTTCCTATAAATTCCACTGATAATTGGCATTACTCCAGGAAAATTTGCTATCTTAGGGAGCCCTAAACATAAATGAAAGCAATGTTTCCAATGATTCCTACCTTGGGTAAACCATAAATGCCCATGGTGGGTTTGAATCAACAACTAATTTCATTTTGTGGAGAGAGGACCTGCAGAGACTGTAAGCCTAATCCAAAATTTTGAAACAGGACCCCTAGAGACAGGCTCTTAAATATCTATGAAGTGGCTGGTGATCTCAGCTGTCATTCCACAGATTTCTTTTAGGACTCCTATTTTCAAACAGGGGTCAGGACTCATAAACTGTTTTGATTAAAAATATGATGTGCAGCTTTCACTAGAAGCAGTGTTCTTCTCCACTCTTGACATGCCAGAAATGTGAATATGCCTTTTGAGCTCAAGGGATCCTCAATGCTGTTTGCAAGGTGTGACCTTCCTTGTAAATCAGCACCTTCTGGACCAGGTAAAGGAATTGAGCTGAACTATGATAGGTTTTAAAGGAAGCTGCTCAGTTACTGAAACACCAAGGCCCTCACCTCCCCAAACACTTGCTGCACCTTTCCAACAGGAAAGGATCATCAGCTCTCATGTTAAAAGCAAACAGAAATTACCTCATTATGTGAAAAACCCCACATTTCAAGACTGTTTATGTGTAGGTAACTCACTTCTGTAACTGGTTTCACATCCACACTAGCTTGTTTTACTACTTATTTTCCCAGGGAACAGCAGAAACATTTAAAATCCAGGATGTTTGAAGAGTGGTATTCTCTCAGACAGGAACTCTATGAAACCAGTTTTACCATTCTGCCTTTTCAAAGGTATGTTCAGGGTGTTGTCTGATATTCTGGTTCTTGTGAGGAGAACACAGGAAAGGGGACACATTTATGCATCTGCACTGCAAAATTCCTGAATTTAGGAGAATATACACAGGTACTAAACTGACAGAGAAAATTGCTCAAATGAAGGGACTGCACATGAATGACTTTGAATGGGTGCTTGCTAGGAAGGGCCATGAGCAGGCCAGCAGACCACTGGCAGCACTGGCTGACAAGCTTTCCTCTTAGTCTTACCCAGAATTCAGTGAATAGGCTTATTTTTTCATTTTTTGTTGTGTTCCAAATTGGACTTCTCAACTGAAGTCTCCCCCCAAGACCCCCTGAGAGAGCTGCACACAGGTGCAGGTACAGCCCCTTGACTCCTCCTCTCCAGACAGAGAATTTGTCTTTTAAGCTGAGCCAGTTTTAGCTACAAAGAGTGTGAACTGTTCCATGGGCAGGAAGGGAACATGGCAGAAAGGAGCTTCCCTGGCCAGGTGCTTTTAAGGTCCCTCTTGCATCACCACATTCATTTTCTGTGCTGTAAATTTCATTTATTTCAAATTAGAAGAACAATACATGAGATGTTCTTGTAAGTATCCTTTACATCTCGGAAACTTTGCTCTAGTTTATACACCACACTTTTGGCAGCAGAGACAAAAGTCAAATTAGAGAAAGCAGGAAAGATGCACATATGGAAACTGAGGCACTTTATGGTTTTGGGAAGAACTGAGGTGAAGTAAATAAGAAACAGAGAAGCAGCAAAATGGAAGAACAGCATCAAGCTTTGAAATAGAACAATTATGTGAAAAGAGAGCAGAGACAAGCTGTATTATAGATGTTGCACCTCCCTTCAACTTTTCCCCAAGAATAATTGTGCCTCCCTGAATTGCTGTAATGGAACAGCAAACACAAAGAATAGAAAGCACTTACATCCTATGGCAGTGCAGGCACAAATTACACAGAAAGGTGTGAGTGCTCTGGGAGCATTATGAGCCTTCATAAAACAGGGCTACATAATGCCACCAAAATTAATGAAATGAACTGGTAAAACCAGCATCAAACAGGGCTCCAGGTACAGGGCTTGAGACACTGTCTTATCCAATTCAATTTAATATGAAAAAAAGGATTCAGTACTGGAATCTCATTGTTTGACAGATGCAAACAACAGCTAATTCCCCACAGCTCATAGTCATGCAAAAAATATCTCCACTGCTGCTTTGAAGTTTTGAGCTGTAGTTTTTGTACCTATGTGGGAGACAATCCTAGGAAGGGCTGAACAACTTTAAGTTGCATTGTCTTCAGATGAATCAATAAATTACCTATTGTTACACTTGCACATGAAATTTATTGTACCATCATATAATTAAAAGCTTATCATAATTCAATATCATAACATGTACGAGGAGTGAATAAACTTACATTTGTGTGTTTGGTATTGTCAGAGCTTGATAGAAAAATTATGCTATAAAATTAGTTTTCCACTGAAGGATGTTCCAAAATTTCTTTAAAGACAACTGGCAACTTTTAAAACTGGTATGGATCATGTTGAAATATATTTTTTTCTGAACATTTTCTTGTGATGCTCAAATATCCCCATATAAAGGAGCCAGAATTTGCTTTAAACTGTCAGAACACAAATGATTACAGTCCCTGCAAAGAGCTCTTCTGACTGTACCATGAATGAAAGCACAATCCCAACTCAAACAGAAGTGGTTCTGACCTCAGTGTGGCACTGTGCCTTCTCAGAAGTTCTCTCCTCTGTTTCTCCAGCAGTCCCTCTGACAGCACTTCCTTGGCACTCCTGTGCAGAGATACAAGAAGAAAATTTTAAAAGTCAGTTTGACCTTTAGAAAACAAGGAGTCACCCATACAATTGCTTTCAGTCCACCTGCCCATGGGGAGAAAAAAAGCTGTCTTGATTTAACTGAAAACTCTTCCTGGAAAATAGGGCTAAAGGAACATCACTCTGGTTGCAAAATGAGGCTCGCAGGCACTAAGAATCACCAGAATGAAGGTGACCTGTGTGCCACCTCTGTATTTGAGTAGAGTCCTTAACTATGTAACATAAATGGGTTTTCACAAGTGCCATGGTTCACTTAACACAAGGATGGGCAGAATTCATTTAAGACTTGAGTTTATTATTGTCTTTGGGTTACAAAGAGGGAACAAACGACTGTGTTAGGCACCAAAGAGCCCTGTGTCCATGGAGAATGAGGGCAGGCTGGTGGGGAATTGCACAGCCCGTGCTCCCCAGCCAGCAGGCAGCCACTGCAGAACCTATGGCCCCATTTGGGTACCACCATGGGCTTCTAGGAGGAAAGAATCTTCTGCTGTTTCTGGTAAACTGGCAGGAACAAGTTTCTCACTTCTTCTGCATGCCTCTGAGGTTAACTGGTCCTTCTTTTAGGTTCCTATCCCCCTACTCTTTCCAGATCCATCTGTCTCCAACCTGTTTTCATCTGGGGATGATGCTCCTGCCAAGTCTCCTGTGTTTGTCCTGACCATCAGACACCAGCCACACACACTAAGTCATAACTAAGAGGTTTTTGTTACCTTTGTGATAGATGAATACAGTGATGTAGCTTCTCATTTACAGCATGAGATATGAAAATCTTGAAATAATATTTCAATTCATCATCTAGCTGCAGCTTCTCTGAAGTCCAATTCTCTTCTACAGTAAGAATTGCTATTAGTGCAGTAGAGATCTTATGGACTTTAGCTGAATTCAGCTTCAACATGAGATGGAGGAGCAAATCTCTCTCCCCAGAGAAAGTAACAGTATAAATAAAAGGGACACTAAATGAGAGAAAGTGCAAAAGAGAAAGTATGAAAAGAAAAAACACAGTAAGACTGAGATTAGTCCTTAGGGGGGTGGTCAGAGCTGCTACTTGTCTCTGTTTGAAAAACACTGAATCTTTTGTTTCAGTCTTCAGTGATTATCTGTAAGATGTAACAGTTAAAGCACACATCATGGCCACAGGGAGTGTGGGATATGGTAGTGCAGATGGATACCAAGTCTCATAGCTGAGTAGTTCTTTCATCACAAGGAAAGGCAAAATAAATACTTAGCACAAGTAGTTTTGCTCCATTCCCTATATTCTCCATGTATGACTGCTCCAGGCAGCAGCTGTCATTTATTTTTCCTTGTGATCCTACAATAGTTTTTCACCATAGGCTCTTTATATCTAGAAGTGGCTCCAAAGTGGGTCCACATAATTCATAGAGAGAGGAGATACTGTGCTGAGTAAAAAGTTGCTGACTCCTCCACTCTTCTCACCTTAGACTGTACAAAACGTACCAGATCTGCAATTAATGGAGCTCAGGGATAAACTGATTGCAAACACATCATTCAGAGGCATTATTGGATTTTTAAAGCTTAGTGTTTTGCTAATTCAGGAACACAAATAACTAATTGTACTGTTTCTAGTTCAGATTACGTCTGAGAATGGATCTTGGGGCAATTGGGAAAGAACACTGCCTTTGCTTTTATTGTGGGAAGCATTCCCTAAGCATAATGTCATTGGAAAAGGCTGAAGGGGATTGCATCTGGTTAGGGAGGAAGTTACAGGCATAATAATTAGCATCGAATTAGCTGCTCTCATCCTGAGCCAGGCAAGCCCATCACATTCCTTTTCCCAGCTGCCCTCTGGTGGAAGGCTCTGCAGAGAGCCCTGAGCAGGAAAATCTTGGTGCTGGCTGTGTATGGTTAACTTAAGCCAGGAAGGACTGAATTAGGATCAACAAGCCCAGAGCAGATGCCCCCTGCCCAGAGGCAGGAGAGTTTTTGAGGCTGAGATACAGTGGTTGACCCCCCTTAAGCACAGCAGCTCTCTTTATGTGGCCACCAGGTTTCTGACAAGTGGGTTTCAGCACTTGCTGTATTTATGTTCAGTACTTCTAAAACTGACCAGGATTGTGTTTGCAATACCTTAAAGTAAGGTTAATCTCCATGTTAATCAGAGGGGGGCTCTCTAGTTGTAATTACTATAATAATTCAATAGATTTTTTTTTTTTTACTGCCTTCTCTGAGTTTGGCTACATGCTGGCACTATTTCATCTCCAGAGAGACCAATGGAATCTTTATTTGGGCAGCTCCATTCTTGGTGCCCTATGCTGGAGTCACTCACCAGTCCATCCCCAACTTCTGCACACAGGTGATGGCTCTGGGAAGCCCACAGAAGCTCAGTCCACGACAGAGGACATTATGAAAGCCAGGATGGAAACCCTGTCCAGGGCCATGCCAGGTCTGCAGGCAAAACTCATGGCCATGCAAGGTGAAGGGGTGAGCATTCAGGACAGCAAGGACAGGTAAGGAAGCAGTAGGCTCAAACCTGGCACACAAACATTTGAGGGGCTGTGCTGTTGCGGCAGGAAGTCATTTCCTCCTTTTTCCCATCCCCACAGAAAGAAAGAGCCAAGACCAAGCAAGACAGAGGAAGAGACCCAGCAGAGAGGGGGCAGCTCAAATGGCACTCAGCCTGGCAGGTCAGCGTTTAATTTTGAAGATGGAGAGCCTGGTTTGCACTGCTGTCATCAGTCACCAGCAGTGCCACAGCTCCTGTCCTGTGTCCTGGTGGTGCCATTCCCCTGCACCACACAGAATCCTGAACTGTACTGGGAACCAGGGTCCTAAAGCTCCCTTCTATACCTGCACCAATAATGTATGAAAGGAGCACCACATCTCCTCTCTTTATGAATGGTATGGAGCCACTTTGGCATCAATACACAAAAAGCTTGCAATGAAAAACTATTGAGGATCACCAGTAGAAAGTGACACAGTCCTTATGTGCTCACACAGCTCTGTACAAATGGATGGGAGCCATGTGGAGCTGGGAGGTCAGGCACAGCTTGGGAAGTGGGACCATGGGATGCGGGCTGCAGCACCCTCTGTGCTGTTGGCCACTCTCCAGCCACTTCCCAGCACACACATTTACGTGCATGATGAGTGTTCTGCAGGACAGATAATGAGTTCAAACCTCAGCATTAGCTCACGACTCCCCCATTCACACACACACACATCCCTGGGTTACCTGACTGCCCTTCCTGCACAGACAGAGCCAGTAACACTCACCCAGAGCCACTTCCCTAGGCAGGAGCCACTTGTGTCACCTCTGCTTTGCATCAGCAGGGACACTCCCTGCATTTGGCCTGCTTAGCTTTAACAGAGGGGAAGAGAATTTCCAAGCCATATTGCTGGGGCCTTCTCTCAACTGAAAACAAGCAGTTCCACACTGACCTGAGCCCACCACCCAACAGCACTGGTGCTCAACAGTCTCTGGACCTTTAACAGCTCCCTGGGTGCTTCCACACTCACCTCCCCAAACACATGGAGCCTGGCTGGGGCTGTGGGTAGGGCTTTGTTTTCTTGCCCATGTGGTTTACAGAGCTGCCTTTCTTTGCTCCTTTGCATTTGCAGGCACTGGGCATCCTTGGGGTTATGTGTTGTGTGGGAGTTTCAACGAGACAGATTTATTGTAGAGATAAAATAATCCTGTTTGACATCACAGACTCTGATTATGATTTTCAGTAGTATTTCTTTATGATTTAAGTTGAACTTGGACATTTTTCATGCAAAATGATTTCTAGTCCATTACTTTTGTAAAAGATTTCAAGAAATCTCTCTTTAGATGTAACACACATATGGAAGTTTATCAGTGAAGATGTAAATCCTGTATTTGGTTGCCATGACTTCTGTCCAACTAGAGATGGGATGAGGATGTCAGATTTGGTTCTTTAAAAAGCTTTTCAACTACACTCTGAGGTGATAAAGTTGTTTGTATTATTTCAGTTTTTCATATTGGTACTATATGAAGAGATTTCAGGTAAGCTGTACCTAGGCATTGACACAAGCCTTTTGAAATCTACAGACACAATTCTGTAACATATCAACAAAACTCCCAGATGCATAAAGCCTTTAGACCACAAACAGGGCAAGAGCACCAAGAAAGGGAAGCATATTTTTCACCACATGTTTTCAGCAGAATCAAAGGGCATGACTCAGTTTCCCTTTAGTCCTTGGGAGCACAAAGGAGCCTGGTTTGCAAGCTGAGCAATAAAACAGCTTCCAGTCCCACACTCACAGCAGCACCACAATGAGCCCTTCATTAGTCGCCACTTCCCGTCAAACGGTTAAAGGGGACACAGGTTTACCAAACAGCTAATCCTTGATAATGAAAGGTTTCCAACAAAGCTGCCTTTCCAGGGAGTCTGGGCACTTTCACATTAGCAAGAAGTGAATAGACAAAGTGGTTCAGGAAACATGCCAAACAGTAGCTCATGCATTGAAACACAAAGCCTGCAGTCTTCAGGGAGCTAAAGAAAAATTACAGTAGTGTTTTGCGTTCTTTCTTGTCACCATAATTACTTTCTCCTTCACTTTCTTTCATATCATTTAATGAATAGTCTTCCAACTGGAGAATATATACACACTTGTCCTTAAATTTCATTTGCAAATACAAATCAGTTTCTGCAGTACCTTATCCCACCCTCCATGTGAGCCAGGTTCCCTCTTTTTTGCTGTGGGCCTCTTCTGGATGTATGCCACTTTTCTAACTATCAGTGCCTATGCAACTGTAACATCACTGACTGCCACCCCTTCATTTCTTCAGGGTTTTGTTTTAATTTGGTGTTTAACAAGTCAACAATTGGATCTTTTCCTCCTGGGGTCTATTTTAAGGTGGCCTTGTTTAGTCAGATGCAATTAGGCATTTAAGATCCAAGATAAGTATTTTTCTTTTAAAATTGTAAAAGCAATGCATATTTGGATTTAGGTAAAGAATTTCAGGATTAACATTAAAGTAT